CTATCCCCTGCCACTCCAGAACACATTCCTACCAACAGATCTATATTTCAAAATCTACGCGTAGTTTTTTCATAATCACATTTTCCATGAACTTTCCGAAGACACATATGCCCACGAATATGTCCAACCTTGGTCCAGAAGCTTTTAGAGAGGTGGGGCCAGAAAAGCACACAATATGGGGAAAAAGGAAAACATCGAGACTGAAGAAGCAGTTGAAGATGTTGGAACAAGTCACTCAGCTACAAATCCACTTCTGAAAGCAAACAATGAATCAAAACATGTGCTGCTAATTCCACGGCATTCTAAACATTGTATGCAGTCTGATTGTGAGTGCACTTAATAAGCTTGACTTTGGCCCTGCAGCTAAAAATATTTATCTGTGTGCTTCTGTTAGGTTAGAACACTGCCCACTGACTTCTCAAAGCACCCCTTAATTAAAATCATCTTTGGTCATATCCCACTTAACATTTTCTAAAACCACAGGAATAGAAGGAGCTATTAATAGGAAAATTCAATCTAAATCACACTTTAAAAGTATATTACTTCAATTCTGAATAAAAATCTTTCCAAAAGGGATCCTGCAAGTGATCTATCCAATAAACTTGCAATGTTGATCAACCCCACTGTCAAGGTCGTCAGAGCAAATAACGTTAAGATGTAGAATGCTCCACATCTTTGACTGTGAAGCCTGAATTCTAGAAAGGGCTTCACGGGCTTTACAAGTACTTTAAGAGAAGGAGAAAGGCAAGTTTTCCGGGTATAAAGTGTAATATCTGAACAGGGTGGTTCCAACCATTTTGTTTCAATTTCTTTTGTTTTTTCCCCCGATCATGACCCTGTCAATTTATCACCCCTTTGAAATCACAGCCAGATCTCATCTTAACTTCAGGCAATAAAATGGCTTTATGATTTGGCAAACTTGGAATCCACACTGGGCTGAGAGGCAGGTGTCTGAGCACATTAACTTGTGGTGACGTACTTCTCAGAGTACATCTTTAAAACCTCAACATGCCTTGGTCTAATATCTAGGAAGGCACATTCAGGGGAAGATGAAGAATCCCGTTAAGTTAAACAGCATTTGTCATGAACTGAGTAATGTGATCTCTGTTTGTTTTGGAAAGTGTGGGATAAATATTGGTTACTAGAAATCAAGAATGGAAAGAACATTACTAGAGACTGGCCTATTTCACTAAAAACCAGTGATAGCATTTGTTGAGTACTTTCATCCACATATTTATTAGCAGCTATTGAATGTCTGATGTGTGCCAAGCAGTGTTCCAGGAGACTCAACTGTGAGAAAAAGAACCAAGCCCTCTCATGGAGTACACATTTCAATGGTGAAGACAGACAATACATACATAAACATATGGCATGGTTTTAAGTACTGAAAACTAAGAGAAATAGAACCACCTGGGTGGAGTGGGGCATTTGAACTTTGAGTGGGATGAGAACCCTTGGAGAGTTAGGGTGCTATCACCTCATAGATATTTTGTAAGCATCCTTCTAGCTGTTGTGTACAGTGTAGACTGTAGGGATGTAGGGGAACAGCAGGAAAGCCAATAGGAGGCTGGCATAGGAGTGCAGGCAAAAGATGATAGGGAAACTGGAGGGGATGAGAAGTGGTACCAGTCACCTTTCCGAAGGTGGAGTTGAAAGAAATTGCTGTTAATGGATTGGCTATGGGTCATAAAAAGAAAGGAACAGAGTTGCCTGTTTGGGGCCTAAGAAACCAGGTAAATGAAGATATGTATTAGTTTTCCATCTCACTAGGTAGTAGATTTTTTTTTAAAAGGTTTTCCCCAGGACCAGCAGATGGTGTAATGGTTAAGTTGGACTCCCATGTAGTCGACCACGATTCAAATCCTGGACCTAGCACCATAAAATTCACGCCGGGCACGCACGTGTGTGTGTGTATGTATATGTGTGTGTGTGTGTGTGTGTGTGTGCACCAGAACTCCCCAGAAGAGAATGGAGAAGGGATTGTGGTGTGTTATTGCTTCTGGGGGAGGGGAGGTGTCTCACTTTCTGTCTCTCTGGTGAGTGCATGCTCCTGATAGCAAAAATATCTTTAAAAAATTAAAAAAAAAAAATCGGGAACCAGCAGTTAGCGTAATGGCTATGTCGCTGGACTCCCACGTAGTCGACCGCGGTTCGTGTCCCGGACCCGGTGGCTTAAAACTCACACCAGGCGCGTGTGCGTGCGTGCCCAAGATCCCGAGAGGAGAATGGAGGAGAAGGGATTGCAGCGTGACCATCCCTCCTGGGGGGTGATTTCTCGCTTTCTGTCTCTATGTCTCTCTCTGTCTGTCTGGCAAGCGCACGCCCCCCACAGTGAAAAACCCTAAAAAAAAAAAAAAAAAAGGGAAAAAAAAATAAAAAAAAAAGGTTTTTGCCTTAGGGCACATGTACTCATTGGAGAGAGACAGAGACAATGAGAGGTAAAGTGAGAAATCACCTCCCAGGGGGATGGCCTTGCCTCAATTCCTTCTCCTGTGATCTTGGGCACACATATGCATGTGGCTGGCATGAGTTTCAAGCCACCAGGTTCAAGACTCGAACTGTGGTCAGTCACGTGAGAGTCCAGCGACATAGTTACTTACTATGCCATCTGCTGGCCCCTGGTAGCAGATGTTTTTTTTTTTAAGAGAGATTTTTTTTTCTATAGGGTGCATGCCCTTGTCGGAAACAGAGAGACATGAAGTTAGCAATCACCCCCAAGGAAGACGGTCACCCACAATCCCTTCTCCTCTATTCTCCTCTCAGGATTTTGGGTACGCATGCACATGTGCACGGTGTGAGTTTTAAGTCACCAGATCTGGGTCTTGAACCACAGTCAACTACGTGGGAGTTCAGTGACATGACCATTATGCCATCTGATGGTTCCAGGTAGCAGATTTTTACAGCAGTATCACTATAACTGAATGACTGAGGTTTTAAACACCTCAAATAGTTTAAAGTATCAGATTCCCAAAGAGCAGAAAATACAGCTTAAGATAAACAATACTATTTTTATAAAATATAGGTGAGATCATGTAATTAAGAGAATGTGTCCCTGGGTGAAAAAACTTAACAGAACAAAATAAATAATAAAAAGAATCATATTTATACACTTTCAAGTTTTATTTTCATAATTATCTTCCTATAGAAGCAATAATCTGTATTTCCATTGCTATACATTTAATATTCTATTCATCAAAGAGCTGGAAAAAATAGGAATAAAGCACAGTTCCATACACAAATAGCATACTCTGCATATGTACAAATAAATTCAATATATTAAATACATTTTGTAGACTGACCTCACTTACAATATAGTAATAGAACATTAAGTATCAGATTCTGAGCATATTCATGCACTTTCACTTTAGTAAAAATGATGATACTAGAGTTCTGGAAGACAATTTTTCTCACTGTAAACAAGTTTTTCGCTTTCTACTGTTCTTTCAGGATGAAAGACTTACCTAGAAAAATAAAATGTATAAATGTGAAAAAGATGTTTACTAGACACGGCACAGAGTAACATTGCTCTCAAAGAAATAACCCCAAGTACCGCATATTTCTTCTTAAATGTGGGCAGACTTAGGAGGGACTTGTGGGTTTTTTTTACAGTTCAGTGTGTAAGAAGAATAAAACTAATTTTCCCTTCATGGCCGTAGTGGGTAATACAGTCTATAAATAAATAGTCTAGAATACCTTTAAAACACTGCCTAAACTGTTGAAACGGTGATGATCAGCTCAAATGAACATTAACATAAGACTCCAGAAGTTTACGATGGCATCTAAAGGGTACAACCAGCAATGAGATCACTGAAATATTAATACGTATCTTCAAATAGACCCGTTTGGACAGCTTTATTCGGACTGTCTATAAACCTCGGTAAAATTAACAGCAGAACTATGCGAGTAATTTAAGACACTATATAACTTACACGTTTTGTGTCAGAGCTACAAGACTGTAAATTAACATCTACCCACTCAGGCACACCTGCCAAAGAAGGATGTTATTCTGTCTAAGCTCTCCCACAAAAGTAACTGTGACTAAAATCACTTAAGATACTCAAGTGTTTTCTGGAACTCTAGCAAAACTAGGCATACTATACTCAGGTAAGGTATGATCCTAAAGAGAGACATAGCATGAATACTGAGAAAAGCATGTGCCTACAGAAAGGTGTGCTACTAGTGTTTGTAGCCTCTTTCCAGTAAACATATTGTGAGTCTAAGCCACATAGGATGAAGAAGCCTTCAAAAATAAGACCTTAGGAAATACTAGGATGAAAATATTGGCAGCACAGTGTTCTAAATATATCTTTCTTCTCTTCCAGCTAAATTTTCATAGTAGAGTATACAGTACTTCCCATGTTGAGTTATGGTCTAGATATAACTCTAAATGAATCAAATTATTTTGGCAGAAGGAAATGAACATGCACTAGATAACTGGAAACACTGCCTCTTAGTGCACCTAAAAAAGGTCTTCATTAGCGCCCATTTGGTCAAGGATGAGGTTTGGAGATAGTCTTGAATTCCACACACACCCCCCCCCACCAATGGAATATCCAGACCTTCAGAGAGGACTGAAAACATTTACAGAATTATTTTAATATGCTGCCTTCAAAGTTTTGCAAACTCACACTTAAGAACTTAAATGCATCTTTTACTGAGTTAAATCATACCACTGGACTCAAAATTGCTTCCCATCACAATTTCATCTTTGAAAAGATTTCATAATTTAACTGTGCCTTATATTGGGGGAGGGAATTGTCTTTCCAAAATAAATTTTTAAAATATTAACTTTTAAGAATAAACTTCACTTTTAGCAGCAATTATTAAAGTACGAAGAAAATGATCTAACAATAAATTATAAGAACCCAAGAGAAGAAAGTATCTATGTCTATTGCCCCTTTTGATCAGAACCTAATTTCTCAAGAATCTGCCTTACAAACTTTTTTAAAGAATTATTTTATTTAACTTTATTTATTTACTTATTTTAATTTGACCAGGTCTGGGGTTCGAACCGTGGTCAGCCATGTGGGAGTCCAGCACCTCTAACTACATACTACCTGCTGGCCTTTTGCCTTGCAAATTTTAAAACCAACTGTATTAAAACATGACACTACATTTTCTGTTAATTCTGCTGGTGTCTTACAATAATCTTATCATGGAAAGAAAAACAAATGCTTCACAGGTAGTGAATACAATGGGTGACTTGGGAAAGGATTACTGAAAATCATTCTTTATTAGCATTCAAGATCAGGATCTCAACAAACTACAGATCTCTTTAAATAAGTTCCAAGTCCACGAAGTAGCATGTCAGGATTTTACCCTTTCTTATTCTTTTTTGTTTCTCCCAAGCATAATACTAGCACAGTCCTCCTGAATATTCATCTTCCTCTTCATCAGCAGCTGTGGTGGCGCCACCCTCAGGCTTCGCCTGTGGTGTTGCGGGTGATTTCTTCTTGATTCCCCCTCCAGGAACCATCAAACTCAGGCCCAGCTTAGCATACTGTCAACAGTAAGACATTTATATCTTAAAAGCTGGATAATGAGAATCACCATACACAGCATCTAAACATCAGTTATCTATAAGACTGAAGCTAGCTCTCTGCTGTCGTGAACACCAGTGTCATCATTTAGATAGAAAAGCAAAACACAACCATGCTCTGTTGTCAGATGCTTCATGACCATAATGTGACAGGTACATGCTAGTAAAATAACAATTATATATCATGCTTGGAGATTTGAGACAATCTAGACATACTGAGTGAAGCAGTACCTCTCTTACCTATGAAACCAAACCAAGGCCTGTTGTATAAATGAGAGTGTAGGCGAGCAACAAACTAATTTTTCTAAATATGTACAAATTTACAAAAACATATGTAAGAATTTATCTAGGGAAAAAAAAAAACGGTTATTCTACATACACCACTATAAAAAAATTGAAGGTCTTAAACTGATCTGATACCATAATGAGACTTTAAAGGTATTAAGAATAAACTGATGTTCATAAATCTACTGAAAAAGGGAAATAAGAAAGGATAGAAACTTACGGCCACGGTTCACTAGATGTGTGAGGTTATTCCCACACTGACTAATGTATTCTTTACATCAGTCCAGCAAAATGGGTTCTAGTAGCTCCGTTTTTACAGGCAACAACTGAGGCTAATAGATAATTCACAAGGTTGGCCCAATAACATAGTGTGTTAGGGAACTGGATTCCACATGACTTACTGGGGTCTGAATTCCAGCCCTGGCAGTTTAAAAAAAAACATACCAGGTACACGTGCGTGTACATGACTGACTATGTCCCTTGATGTGTGTGTGTAGGGAGGGGTGGTGTTTTCTCTCTGTGTGTTTCTCTGGCAATTAAAAAAGGGATAGAGAGACAGAGATAGTGCATTAATAATCTGCATTACAGGTCAAGCATGGTGGTTTAAATCAGAGGTGGTGCTGCTGCGCAGTGCCTGAGGCCTTAAGGGAGGCCTGGTTTCAGGTCTCAGTTCAACTTAAATAGGCTGGGTACAAAGGTAGGCACCTGTGGTCCCAGCTGGGAGGCTGAGGCAAGAGAATCATAGCACAGCGAGACCCTGTCGAAAATACCCATCTCAGAACCAGCAGTTAGCGTAATGGCTATGTCACTGGACTCTGATGTAGACGACCATGGTTCGAGTCCCGGACCCAGTGGCTTAAAACTCACGCCCGGCGTGTGTACGTGCATGCCCAAGATCCCAAGAGGAGAATGGAGGAGAAGGGATTGCAGCATGGCCATCCTCTCTGGGGGGTGATTTCTCGCTTTCTGTCTCTCTGTCTCTCTCTGTCTTTCTGGCAAGTGCACAAGCCCTATAGCAAAAACCTCTCCAAAGAAGAAAGAAAATACCTATCTCTGGCCCAGATACAATGGCTCACATGGCAGTGTTGCTCTATACTGCTAGAAACCACAAGGACAAATATGGGTCAGACCCTGAAACTTACTGAGTGTGCAACAGAGATCCTTACTAGCTGGAGGGCTAGGGGAGGGATCAGGGTGTGATGAGACCTGGTCAAGGGTGCCTACATGTTCTCTCTCATGAAAAAATTTTAAGTTCATCGGGACCAGCAGTTAGCGTTAATAGCTATGTCACTGGACTCCCATGTAGTCGACTGTGGTTCATGTCCCAGACCCGGTGGCTTAAAACACGCTGGGCACGTGTGCGTGCGTGCCCAAGATCCCGAGAGGAGAAGGGACTACGGCGTGAACATCCCCCCTGGGGGATGATTTCTTGCTTTCTGTCTCTCTGTCTGTCTCTGTCTGTCTGGGGGAGTGCACACACCATATAGTAAAAAAAAAAAAAAAAAACCTCCCCCCCCCCAAAAAAAATTTTTAAAAAGAAAAAAAATAAAAGAAAAACTAACATGCATCCTTGTCATGGACACAATCAGTTTTATGTCTACGGTAAATATTTTTGTCTTAAATAAACACCTCTCTCTCATTAAAAAAAAAAAAAATTAAATGAATGACCTGCATCGGACAGCTAGTCATCACAGAGGTGTAATTCTCTTAGGTCTACTGAATTATAGAGGCTACTTTGCAAAACAGGGTCTCTTTTATAACATGAACCTAAAAGAAATCTGGTAAACTAAGAAACCTATAGATGACAACAGATGGTAGGAGTCATTTAGAAGTGAGGCGGAATCAAAAATTTTTAGGGACCAGCAGATGGCGTAATGGTTATGTCACTGGACTCCCACATAGTCAACTGTGGTTCAATTCCCAGACCCAGTGGCTTAAAACTCATGCTGGGCCATGTGTGCCCAAGATCTCAAGAGGAGAATAGAGAAGGAGGGACTGCAGCGTGGCCATCCTCCTGGGGGGTGATTTCTTGCTTTCTATCTCTTTGTCCCTCTCTCTCTGTCTCTCCAGCATGCACACACACCCTCTAGCAAAAATCTCCTTAAAAAAAAAATCATTTTTTTTTTTTTGAGAGGTTTTTGCTATAGGGTGCATGTGCTCACCAGAAAGACAGAGAGAGACAGAGAGACAGAAAGCGAGAAATCACCCCCCAGGGGGGATGGCCAAACCGCAATCCCTTCTCCTCCATTCTTCTCTCGGGGTCTTGGGCATGCACACACACGTACCCGGCATGAGTTTAAGCCACCGGGTCCAGGACTTGAACAGCGGTCGACTACGTGGGAGTCCAGCAACATAGCCATTATGCCAACTGCTGGTCCCTAAAAAAAATTAGTTTTTAAATATGGATGTGGTCACCACAGTTAGATGTGTAAATGGCTGTAAATGCATATGGTTGACATCCAAATTATTTAATTATATAGTGAAATTCAAAGAAGTGATCAGTTCCTTTATGCAGCAGTTTGAGGTGAACAGTGGTAGAAAATGTTTTAAGTCCATGAGAGAAAAACAATCTCCCTAGAAGCCTCCTCCTTTGGAGAGGAAAGAAGAAAGCTGTCCCGGACAGGCCCACTTACGTCATTATCCATGTACTTGAAGAGAGGTGAGTTGCAGACCTCTGACACCTGATCTTGGTCTTGTTGGTCATATCCTTCGAGAAGCTTTTCCAGTGCAGCACAGTCCTCACTGCCATTGAAGCCTGGTATGCTACAGTAAGCACAAATCACACTTCACCCTTCCCTTACAACAACAGTCATCAGCCAGAAAGGGTTCTGCCCCCAGAACACATCTGGCAAAGTCTGCAGACACTCTGAGAATTACGGGTAAGGGGATGCTACTGGCGCCCAGTGGGTAGAGGCCAGCGATGCTGCTAAACATCCCCAGTGTACATGACGGCTGCCACAGCAGAGACTGGTCCAGCCCACATTTTCAATAGTGCTGAGGTTCAAACCGCTCACCTTAAACCTATCTATCAAGAGAATCCCTCATTTTGATCTTTTTGCAAGATAAAATCTGAGAGCTATTCATTTTTTCTTTTCTTAGAAGGCAAATACAAAAATAAATTACTAAAGTCATTCACTCCCATGGAGGTCCCCAAGAGAAAAGAGAAGAAAGCAACTGATAAAAATCCTATGATAATAGTAAGATTGCAATGGTAGTCAAGTGTTCCTACCACTCTGAAGATTTATGAGAAATGGTTTCACGGCCAGAAACACACATGTCTAAACAGCAACCTTAGAGAAACAGAAATGCTAACACTGCAAGTCAACAGCCTGGCCAAGATCTCACCTGTAGCTCTCCCGGACACATCTTTCTGCAGCAACGTAGTCATTTCTGTGCAGATGAACTAAGACTTGAGCAATTGTTTTCTAAAACAAAAGAAGTGTTAACAGTCCAAATTTCTATCTAACAAATTTCATGGGCATATTTAAAACACTTAGAATTTAACTTTCAGAGTCTTGGTTTGTACACAGAAGATTCTGAAATTCCGCAGTAACTTCCACGGGACACCTGAGGGAAAATATCCTAAAATAGTACTTCTCAAATTCTAATGTTCACATAAACCACCTGGGGATCTTGCTCAAGTGAAGAGTTTGACTGAGCAGGCCCGAGGTCAGCCTACAATTCTGCCATTTCTAACAAACTCACACTGGGGCTGATAGGGCCTATCTAGGACCACACTTAAGACCAAAAAGCCTTAGAACACAACCACTCACATATTTTTAAAGACAATTTATTTCAAATGTCTAAATAGATTTAATCTTGGAAAAGGAATAAAACAGTGGGGAAGGGGCATAATTCTAAAATTACACTTCGAAATGCTTAAAATGATCCTAAGAAAAAGGAGTATGAATGAAAACTCCAGATCACAGAAACAATGGTAACTATTTATAAGTCAACAACAAAAACAGTAATAAGATTATGATTGATAAAAATCTGATCAGTGAATGCACAAGTTATGGTAGCACATGCTCCTAAGACACTATGCTTTGCAGGCTGAGGCCACATAGGAGACCCAGGTTCAATTCCCAGTCCAACCTAAAGGCCAGGCATGGTGCTGTGTGCCTATAATCCCAGCTACTCCGGAAGGCCAAAGCAGAAGAACCACAAGCCCCAGGTTGGCCTGAGTACCATGGCGAGATTCTGTCTAAAAGGAGCCAGGCACAGAAGCCTGCACCTGTGGTCCCAGCTGGGAATTAGACAGCGAGCCTGTCTTTAAAAACAAAAACAAAACACAAAAACTTTCTGGCTGGCGAAATAGCTCTTAATTAAGTAGTTTCAATCTTTTTTAGAGTCTTTCTTTTGTTATTTTCGTTACAAGAATAAGCCCATCTAGGATTTTATTTCAGATACTGTATTTCCCAGTCTTAATAGTTCCATATAGCATCTAGTTCATTCTTATAGTTTCTATAAAAATAACATTTTTTTCTATAAAAATAGATCCTGTTTCCCACTTTGAACTGTGTTTCCTTTACCTCGATGAGCAGTTATATTAGCTATTTCAAAGTCTGATCATTTATTTATTTATTTTTGAGAGGTTTTTGCTATAGGGTACATGTGCTTGCCAGAAAGAGAGAGAGAGAGAGAGAGAGAGAGACAGAAAGCCAGAAATCACCCCCAGGGGGGATGGCAGTGCCACAATCCCTTCTCCTCCATTCTCTTCTCGGGATCTGGGGCATGCACATACGTACCCGGCATGAGTTTAAGCTGCCAGGTCCAGGACTCGAACCGCGGTCGACTACATGGGAGTCTAGTGACACAGCTATTACTCCAACTGCTGGTCCCTAATTCAGTCTTGGTGTGATAATTCCAACATCTGGGTCATTTTGGGGTTGACAGGATTTTTCATTCCTCTTGAAAGTTGGTCCTGTTTTCCTGGTTCTTATATGCTGAGTAATTATGAATTATATGCGGGACATTTGTGAACTTCTGCTACATGGACAGTGTTGTAATGCTCAGCAAAGTATGGGTGTTTATACCAGGCAGTCACCCCAGTGAGGTGCAGACTATACAACATGTCTCGCTTTTGGAGGGCAGTTTCTAATCTTAGTCCTGATCCTTGGCTATGCAGCTCTGGGTCTGCCCCACACCTGGGCCTTTTGAGGGACTTGGACAGTGAGTTTAGACTTGGGCAGTGGTAAACCTTACTTCAGTTCTCAGAACTCTTCTCTCCTACTCTGGGCCTCTCCCACATGTAAACCCAAGACCTGTATGGGTCACACACAGCGGCATTCCCTTTTCCAACCCTATTCCGTGTGAGATTTTCTCCTTGTTCTCCTAGCCCATCTTCCTAGTTCCTCTGGTCAGAGATGGGGTTCTTCTGTGTTACCTGCATGAGCCATTATCACAGCTATAGCTCCACAACCAGGGCTCAAAGCTAGAGCAAAGCCAAGGGAGAGAAGAGAGAGAACGGGGCCTCTCTTCTCAGTTCCTCTGGCTAGAAAGATGGGGTTTCCTTTGAAGTTTTCATTGCTGTAGCCTCCACTGCCTGGCTCCATGACTGGGGCTTCCTTCAGACAAGAGGCGACAGACAAGGCCCAGGAATCGCTCTCCTGTACTGGATGCTTCCCCTCGTGTCTTATTCCCTTTCCCAGTCTCCTGACTGTATTTACTTTTCAGAGTTTATAGGTCCTTCTTGTGTTTTATCTGGTAGTTTCACTTGCAATCAGTAGAAGAGGCTATAGTGGGCTTACTCTATGTTGGCCAGAAACAGAGGCCCATAAATTATCATTACACAAAAACACAAATATCCATGGAATTCTATCTTAGGTATTAATTTATACCACTATCAAAAATTACCTAATGTAAAGCCAAGAAATGAGAACTTTCAAAGAATACCTTATAACACGTTGGGTAATTCTCAATTTCCTTATAAATATTTTTTTCTTTCTGAATGGAGAGTGCTGCCTCATCAAACCTAAAGACAAAACAAAGAAATGTAAAACAAGGCAGGTTAAATGGTCTATAGCAGAGGTCATTTTGTGATATTCTTGCTATTATAGATTTCAGAGAAACAACTGCTCCATAACATAACCCATGTTTCTATTCTCTCTCTCATCTGGCTTGCCTTTTAAATGTCTCAATCACCCCTTTTAGGCATTGAGCTGACAAAGTCAAAAAGCTTAAGGATAGGTTAATTCGAATGGAGAGTTTTAAGTCAAGATTATGCATGAATGCGCCTCTGTCAAACTCAGCCTAGTGAGAACCTGAGCAGAAGGCCCCGCCCCGCGTCTAGATGTCACCTACAGAAACCATGAGTGTGCTCTGCTTCAAGCTGCCAAGTCTGTGGTAATTTGTTATGTGTATCAAATTAATGCAAGGGGGACAACTGTCTCATTTGTAACCGTGACCATAAATTTATCACAGATCCTGTTTTACATATTACATTAATGTCTATATGACATTGTTCTAGTAGGAATCTCAGTATTTTAAGTTTTTAATATATTTAACACTGCATTCTGCAACATGCATCATTTATTTCCTTGACATAAACACAGCATTTCCGTGTGCTAATACATATCTAGCTAGCAAAGGAGCCACAAGAACTACTGTGCATTTATATGGGTTTGCAGTAAAAAATGTTGATCAGCTTTGCTAAAAGTTCATGAAACTGACATGTAAAACCACCTAATATCAAAGACATTCAAGAAATTATTCACAATTTACTATTCTGAAACACAGAACACTTCAACTTTCTCATTAGGTAATTCTTAATACTTCTATCAAAATAGAATGTACATGTTGGAATTCTTTATCCAAAATGCTTGGGGCCAGATGTCTTTCAGGTTTCTAATTTACTCAGATACCAGAAGATGTGCACACATATAAGGAGGTATCTTGGGAATGCGACCAGACTCTAATTATAACCTTCACTTACGTTTTATTATACTTTACACACATAGCCACATACATACACTAACAGCATTTTGACTGCAACCTGTCACATAAAGTCAGATGTGGACTTTTCCACTTGTGGCATCATGTCAATGCTCAAAAAGTTTTGGGTTTTAGAGCATTTCGGATTTCAAATTTTTGACGAGGAACATTCAACCTATCTGGTTTTGCTGATAAAAGTATAAACTGTTTTACTCTTCTTGTAATTAGGAAAAAAAAAATAGACTCAGTCCTGGACCTAGTGGCTTAAACTCACACCAGGCATATGTGTGTGCATGCCCAAGATCCCAAGAAGAGAATGGAGGAGAAGGGATTGTGGCATGGCCATCCCTCCTGGTGGGTGATTTCTCGCCTTCTGTCTGTCTGTCCGGCTCTGTCTTTCTGGTGAGCACACATGCCCTATAGCAAAAACCACTCCCCCCACCAAAAAAAAAAAGACTCAAATAAGACAAAAATGTAAATGACACATAAATTATGTACACGTGACAGGAAACTGCCATAGGGCCTCACAACTTTGAAGGGATATTTTGAAGGGATACTTTCCTCACAATGACTCAAACTCTTCCTCAGTTGCCAACTATTTCCTGAACTCCAGAATAGACTTTGGAACTACCTACCAAATTTTTTGGCCTATTTGTCATATTTCCAACTAAGCTTATCCCCATTAATAATCTTGTTTCTACAGCATAATGGATAGGACATAGTAACCTAAGACACAGTGATTCTCCCTAATAGTACACTCTTCACCCCAGCATCACAGACACACACCATGCCTCCCTGCATTCAGTATCAGTGACCAGCTTGGCTGATCGGTGAGAAGACGCACTTTTCTTTTGCTAAGTGAGTCTTCTGAACAGGATCTGCATTGGTGAGGAGAGCACATACCATACACCAGTCTGTCCAGCTGCCTCAGATCTTCTCTTGAAAACACAGGGATGTAAGCCTTAAGCCATGACCAACATGTTGGAAAGGCTTTTTCCTAAACGGAACAAAGGCCCTCCTTCTAGGACTGACTTCAAGGCCAATCAGAGGCACCCTAAATGAAATTCTGAATCACTTCTGAATTATGATTTTCTTGGAAAAGCAAGAGGCTAACAAGTTCTACAGATTATTTAATTTGTTATACTGATATGTAAACTAAAGTATTGTTAAGTCAGGACTCACATCATATAAAGACATAAATGTATTAGTTATTACAAATATGCCAAGCATAAAATTTTATATGTTATGCCACATCCTATTACTAAATATTACTGGTATAAAGTATAAAATTACCACCTGTTTTAGTTCTTTTGGCAATTCACAGCCTCCAGTTAGATTACAATCTAAATATATATATTCAGAATATCCAAATATCACAGATCATCTCAATTCTCTTTCCATTAGTATACGCTTTCCATCTTTCATACCCTGTACTACTTAGGAGTACCCTTGCAGTAGACTTTTATTTCATAAAATTTGACTTTTTCAAAATATTAAATTTCTCCATATTCTTGAATAAAACTTAAATCAAGTTTTATGTTATTATACAATTTAAAATACAGTTTCATAAAAAGAAGGAAAAACCCAGCAGAACAACATCATAAAGTAAACAGGCTGGCCTAGGATTACAACTGCCCACTCCTCAAGCACAACCATGCAGCACTCTCTCCTGCTGCTCATTAAGCTCACACTTTCTCCCTCCACTGACTGGGACGAAAACACAGTGCCTGTTTTAGAGCAATACTTTTCTTCTTCTTTTTCTTTTTTTTAAGTTTGCTATAGTATGTGTATGTTTGTCAGAGAGAGAGGGAAAGTGAGAAATCCCCGAACGAGAGGTAGCCACACTGCAATCCCTTCACCATTCCCCTGTCAGGATTCTGGGCATGCACAGACACACACCAGGCTTGGTTTTTAAGCTGCCAGTCCAAGACCTGAACATGCAGTCAGTCATATGGAATCCAGCCACCTTATCCTCCAAGCCATCTTCTGGCACTAGAACAAAGGTTTTTATTCCACCGTTAAAACCAACATTTTGTTTTCACAGTGACAGTGGGCCCCATCACTTCATGGAGTGCTCTAAAGGAACATATACATGTAGCTGGAAAGCATCATTATTCAGCTGACCTCCCAAGGAGAGCCTGGTCCTTCTCCTTTCCTTTCCAACTTCTCCCTAACACATAGTTTTACATGATCTACGGTTTGGGAAACAAAAGGGAAAAAGCTGTGAAAAGGAGAAATACTTTTGGTAGCTAAAGCAGAAAGGACTCCCATACAAGGCTATCTTTACCTCCCACGCACTACCTGCAACCCCTTCTTCCACTCTCACTGGGGTCCTAACGGGAAGGGTCTGGGGCTTTCTAGAAGCACAAGGAGCCTTGGGAGAAGGCCATTCATTAGGAGGTGGAATAGGTAAGAAAAGGTGATACCATGTGAGAACTTGCACACCCACTGTCTGTCCCATAAGAAGAATCAAGGATACTACACCCTGTTTCTACAACAAGCTGAGTGGCCCTGCTCACAAGAGTCAAAACCTAAGTAGCACCTGATAGTTCAGTTCTACAACAAACAGCCTGGGAGCCTTGACCAGGACCAGGTTTGTTTCTAACAGAAACACCTTCTGAGAGTAAACTGAACCATTTATAAGTTAGGAATTGTCACAGTTAAGTCATTCCAATGCTTATTAAGATGAATAAAGAAATAAAAACTTCTATTTCATTAGTACAACAAAAAAACTAATCAATCAAAGAAGGTTCTATAAATAACACTAGTATGAGATTCACTACTGTGTATCTCGATAAAAATGCTTAATTCTTAATTCAATTTATTCTGATGTTACTCTAACCCTGTTTGAATTATATTTCAGAAACAGTCTTTATGAAGAAAAAATTTAATTCAACATGTTCATCAGTCACTTCTATTTTAAATCCTTGACAAAATATATCTTGGGTCTTTTCTGTCATGGGAAGCTATGGGCAAATTTCAATTAAGCCAGATCTCCATGTCCAACTCAGGGTGCAGGTGGTAGCGTGCTCAACTGCAGTGCTGCAAGCCACAGGGCCAACTGCAGGTTCAGACACTCAGTCAACTTGGAACACGATGGGTGTGTGGGCACCCAACATCCTGATATGCTGGAGGACAGGGAAAGGGAAGGGAAATATGGTGGTCCAAGATTCTGACAGGTTGGAGGATGGGAATAGAGGCTTGCAGAAGGACCAAGATGCCTGTCTTTCTCTCTCATACAAGTACATGTGCTATCATAAAAAAACAAACTTTTAAAAAAAGTTATCTATCTCTAGACTTAAAAATCTTCTCAATTTTAAATATTACTAAGTGAGTTAAATATTTCTTAAGTATTATTTTTAACATAATTACTGATATTAATATTAAATATTAAGTGAGAACTTGGCAAAAAGAATTTTTTAATGACAGAAATTGATTATGAAACATAAACTGAAGTAAAGTAAAAAAACAAAGGGAAAATTCAATGGTATTCTAGCTTTCCAGAGACCAGATCTGTGCCTTAAGTCATATGTTAAAAGAATAAAAAAGTAAATGCCTTTTATAATGGCACTATTTGGCTGTCAAGAATCTGTCTATTTTTATGGGTGAGCATTTAAGACTTCCTTACCATCTATCCCAATACACATGTTTCTCATGGGAGAGGCATTATAGTCTAACCACTATAGTCTAGACCAAAAATACTGTTCTCTCATATGCTGTTGAGTCACATCTTAACCAGCCAAAGCACAGCACATGACAAATTTTGGCACTATACTTAAGAAAAACATAATTTTCTTTCTCTTCTTTTTTTTTAAATTTTATTGCCAGAGGGCACATGTGCCACAAAGTGGAGGTAGAGAGAAAGGATCCCCTACTGGGGCATGGAGACACCACAACATCCCCCCTCCCCATCCTCCTAGGAGTTGGGACATGCAGATACACATGCCTGGCCTTAGAAAAGATAGATCTTTTAACTTTTAATTAAACATACCTAGTGTCTAGTAGGTGTGATTCTCCTACTGGCTAATTGGTATGTCTACACTGAAAGGATTAACAAGATATCCCTAGCATTGCTTACCAGGTCCTAATGTAAATTCAAGGTCTATATCGACACAAAGGAATACTGTCTTGCAAGACATACCTGCGTCCTCGTACGAGCAGTCTTGAGGCTTTTCCTAGTAACTCGACAGCCTGCCGTAAGCGCTCTTCATTCTGAAGGAGTGGAAGAGTTTCTTTAAGAGCATGGAAAGATTTTAAAAAGCAGCCAATACATTTCTGTTTTCCTTTATGTTATGAACCTAAACATTCTAATAGTTAAAAAGATAATAAAATTTACTTACTTCAAACACATTAGCTGTCTGTTGATATAACTGTACAGCCTTTTCTGGATCTACATTTTCTATAAGCCTGAATTAGACAAGGAATTTAACTTGTATGAGAAATAGAAAACTTATTTTTCAAAAGATTCATTTAAAGAAAAAAGGCCATGGTCTCTAGGAAGATGTGTACTTCTAACGACAGCTGTACACGCTTACTTTCCAGCTCTCTCCAACGCCATGGCCGCTGTGTCAGGGGTGCCATTTTCTAGGTACATCATGCTGGCTTTCTCGATCAGCTGAACAGCCTCTGGTAGTTTTTGCATTTCCTTTAGAAAAGGACACAATATGGATCAGAAAATGCATCAGCCTCAGAAACACATGATTAATGATCTGATATTCAATGATTTTAGCCCTAATTTGTAAAAGTAAATGAGTCAAAATAATTACACTACAACAAACAGATTTTAAATTAAATGCCTGGTTACTCTCCCAGTTAAACTTCATTTAACCAAACCAAAAATGTACTAGTCAATTTCTACACAGCGTTTATCATTCATCACTTCAGACTCTCAGACAAACTATCCAAACAGAAGAAACCAAAAAATCCTTGCTCTTTACTGTCTCCTAAGCATATTTCCTGAGTGTCCACTATATACAAGGTCCATCCCAAAGACTGCAAACCAGTAGCCCAAGGGCTGTATCTCATCTCTAAGAATGTTTTGCTTGAACTAGGCAGTTATTTTTTAAATCAGACACATTCACAGAAATCCTGTTTTACGGCTTCCTTTAAACAATATCAACGCTATGGAAACAGGAGACTTGCATCCCCACCAACAATAATGAGCTGGGATGAGTAAGTAGCACCTATCCTGTTAAGATGAGGCATGCCACCGCTGGGAACAGTCGCATTTCTCTCCGTTCTCCACTGCCCTATACACGAGTCCCACCTCGCCCATGTCAGTTATTCCTGCATGCCCTACGTTCATCTGAGTTTGCAGCTCTCCTCCCTCCATGCTGACTGTCATCCACAGCATAAATTCTCTATCTTACTATTAACCTGAGGCTTTCAGGATCTTGTGGTCCTATCATTTCGTATTTTTAAATAATTTTTAAATGAAAAATAATTTAAAAACAAGATGTTAAGTTTAAAGGAATTACCTATTTAGGGCTGATTTCTATCTTAAAAGTAGGTTCCACATCACTACCTCATGGGTCATTTTCAAATTTGACTGATCAGTCAGTCCCTCACTGAATTCTCAAATTAAGATATTTCCAAACAATCTGCTTTTCTCAGTCCTGACAACTCTATAACATAACTTTTATATTATTTCCTTACAGAAACATGAAACTAACATTGTGTCCTGAAAAAAAAAATACTACATGAAATGAAGTTGCTATAATGTACTCAAGTGGAATGATATGCTACTATATCCCCAAACCACAGGAGAAGAAAAGAACTTTTTCATTATAGAAACTAAGTTAATGAAAGAATCCAAGTCTATACCAAGTCTATAGTATATGTTGAAGGATATTTAAGAAAACAGGAAAGGCAAACCTAACAAGATGTATTTCATCCACTTTAGTTCTGAGGATATTTTGACTTTCACAGACTATTTTTTCCCCTATTTCACCTATCCATTAATATATACTGAGCATTCTACAATATAAGCATTTGGGAAATTTATATACCTATACTTATATATGTATATAATAACTGCAATAACTACATTTGAAGATAGTATGAAATGTTATCTAAATCCTGCGTTTAAAAATGAACAACTACATCTCCCTACTTTTCCATCAAATCAAGTGAGTCTATGAATAAAAGAGGCAACAATACTGATACTTCATAAAAAACGATGGGCCGTCTACTTAAAAGTTATGCCACTCATTCAACACGTCTATTTTTAATGGTATGTGTGACTTAGTAATCTTACTGCTCCTATGGAGCAAACAGGATACAAAACCAAATAATTGGTAAAATGACAAAACCTGAAGTCGATCCAACAAATCCGGGTGGCTTCCCTCCTGACTCCACCTACAAACTGTTACTCCCTTAGCCTTGCTAGAGGTTAAATGAGAAGGTTTGTATGACAAACTGATGGAAGTTTTAGCCCGCAGAATTAATCATGGACCCTGCAGCTCGGACTCCTAAAGCTGTCCAGGACTGTCCAAAGGCGTTTCACTTAAATAACAAGACCATGCCAGGAAATAGTTTCTTTCATTTGTTTCCCTATCCATTAAGTTTATTTTTCCTTCATCAAAGTAGCGCCTTTCCCACCCTTTAATTAAACAGATACTTGAGCAATGGAGATGCTACTTGAATAAAGACTTGATGAAGACATAAATGTTAGCACAGCTGCCAGAATGTAAGCGGAGGTTGTGAGAATGGCAGTATCCTAGCACTGCTGTACTAAAACAGCGGGTCCTATTAATAGGCACAGGGTACACCGAGACTGCAGCAGCCACCTGGGAGCTTCCTAGTTCTCAGAGGAAAATGAGATAGAAGGCCACAGCAGATTTCTGGTAGCGTCGGCTGTTAGAGAACTTTTAGCTGTTAATGAAGTAATGTGCATCCCCAATTAGCAATTCAGTTTTATGTTTAGCCAGAAAAGTTTTATGTCAATGGGCACAAAACAGTTTATCACAAGGAAGCATCATAATTTATTTAAACATTTTCCTTTTCTTTTTTCTTTTTTTTTTTTTTTTTTTTTTTTTTTTTTAAGGCACGTTTGCCAGAGAAACACAGTGAGAGGAAAAGTAAGAAATCACCCCCTAGGGTGGATGGCCACACTGCATCCCTTCTTCATTCTCCTCCTGGGATTTTGGGCACACAGGCACACGTGCTCAGCATGAATTGCAAGCTACCAGGTCTGAGACTCAAACCACAGTCAACCATGTAGAAATCTAATGCCTTAACCACCACATCACCTGCTATCTATCCCACATTTTCCTATTATTAAAACTTAGAATAATTAATAAAAATTTTAATGTAAAAATCTTAATTATCTATTTCCTTTTGATATATTAATAGAACTGGAATTCCTGAGTCAAAGCATGAAAACTTTTAAAGCATGTTAACAGCTATTACTAACATTCGTTAATCTTTCCAGTGTCTTTAGATGCTCCACACATACTCACTTTAAAAAAAAGAAACACTAAGTCAGTATGATAAAAGTCATAGAAATTATGAACAAAAGTTTTACTAAAGTATAAGTTCTTAAAACAAAGCTTTGCAATAAATAATTCAAAGTAGCTTTTATCATATTAGAAAGCACATAAAACGGAAAGAAAACATTTCATTTTAATTGCTACCTGGCATACTGTGAGAGTCAGTGTCATAAAGCGGCATGGCTTTGTCTTACCACAGCAGGGTATTAATTCCTAACCTGCTCTTCAGAAGCACAAACAGAACAGCAGCATAGACACATTACTCAAAATACTTCATTTAAAAAGAATCATTTAAAGTAGCAATAGCTTGAGTCTGTGGTTCTCTTTGCTACTCATTGATATTTATAAAAATAAGCAAAAACCTGTTCTTTCTATAACCCATGAATAATAAAAAAGTACTTGTTAATTTTTGCTAAATTAAGATGTCTTTAAATTCTCAAAAGTACGGAAATCTCTCACAGAATTTTTTTTTTTAAATACACATCTGTCCTTATTAGAGTTTAGAACCTTGCTGTTCTGACACATTTCTCTTCAATTTCACTCTAACAGTCCCTATTTGAGACATACAGAATGTATCCTCTGGGTCCATCAATGTTTCCCCGGACAGGAAATATGAACGCAGCATCTCCTTACAGTATCCTGGTATTGTAAAGAACCTAAGTGATTCACATTTAATGAGTCAACAATCCAGTATTCTTTACCCTGACTGTTTGGATATTAAAGTTCCTTTATGTTGTCTATTTAAAAAAAAAAAAAAAAAGGAACTATTCAACTATTCAACCTTGACATAAATTCTACTTTAACACTTTCAGTTAATTCATTTTTACCTACACAACAGTTGTGACATAACAGCATTACTGACCTTCAACATCATGCCAGCTTGCTCATAGGCTCTGCAAAAAGAATATAATTTCTCTCATGAGATCTTAGTGAAATAAGGAGGAGGAGAAACTTTCTGGTGAGGGAACTATAGAGGAGGGACGTGACTACAATTAAAATGGGTTCAGGTGCAACATTCACCTTTGGCTTGTTTTCCACACAACACAATTTTTTCTTCTTATTTCCATGGGCAATCATGCCTTAGAAACATCAGATGTTTGATTATCTGAACTGGAAGGATTCTTCAGATGTAAAACTATGTAAGGCTCTTTCTACTGATATTTGATAAACATAAATCTAAATGTTAAATAAATATTCTCCACAAAAAGCAAGAGAAAGCTTCCCCCTTTTTATCCACAAACCCTATTAACTATCAAGAAAAGAGATTCTAACTTTTTTTTTTTTTAATAAGCAACTGAACAAAATGGTTCCAAGATGTTATGCTGGATTTAAACTTTGTATATCCAGTTTGAGGTGTTTTAGGTTTTTAAGCTAAAGATAAAGACGGAAACAAACAGAAATGACTATATTACTTAATACAAATAATTCACTGCTTACAAATTTATAACTTAAGAAAAATTTACTACAGAAAAACAGTAACATTTAAAACATAATCTGTAAGTACATAAAAATAAGGAGGACATTTACTTACTTGGCAGCATGAAAAAGACTGAATAGATGTAACAAAGTCAAAATTAAGGAATAAAAGAGGAAATCAACAGTTTCCAGAAACCTACTACTTAAGATGGTTGGTTAACTAAATCACTTCTCTAGTTGCCAAAAATCAAATCTTACAAACAGGTCAAGAAGGTATCATCTAATGCCTACAGATATCTCTTAAAATCTCATCATTCAAAGGCTCTGACAAAACATGGCACAGACTGTTCATTACTTACATTATGCATGAGTCTAAAGAGTTTTATAAAATGCAAGGTTATGACTATAATTTGAAAGTGAGATAAAATAAGTGTGTTTTAACTGGTAAGTTTTAAAATACCCTAAGGCAACTTACTGTTTTAAATGATTTTTAAGTCTTAATTCAAATACCTAAAAAAAAAGGACTAAATTTTGGAAAACTTTACATAGCCGTTCATGCACTCTCAGTCTCTGTGCTATTACTGGTCCAGCACATGTTTATACACATTTCCCTCATTTCATCCCAAGGAAGCCATTACCAAACAAAACCGGAACCAACAGAGAATAAACTCTGAGATACAGCTCTGCAAACCAAATCTGGACCTTAGGATCAAATGCTCCTTCAGAGTTTAAAAATGCAAAGGTTCTCTAGCCATTTTCTAATTTAGAAGCATTTCACTTCACATGTAGCAAATTTATATCAAGAGAAAATAATGAGTTTCTGTCAAATTCTGTTTAATTCCTCCCAAAGGCTAAAAAAGATACGCCCTATTATTTTCGTGGGCAACAGCTTCTCTCAAGCAGGCGTCTTTTGCTTGCTCAAACTGTTTGGCATTTTTAAAAGCAACAGCTGAAACAGAGAAACAACAACAACAAAAAATCAGACTTTCTATTTCCATCATTAAACCTCAAATTACCAAAATCTGTGTTTTACATAAAGTATTACGAAACATACTTATTTCAGTCAAATACTTGTATTACTTTTTTTCTAAAGCAATTTCCTTACAACTTTTCTGGTTATCAATAAGAATTATTTTCAAAAGTTTTGTTTTAAACTGTTGACTATTATGAACAAATTAGTGCTACTTTCACTCAAAACTAGTAAGTCTTTTTAAACACCAATACTCCTGAACAGTCCTAAATATCATGTAAGTCCTTCAGTCAAAAACAACTGACTTCACTAGGTTTACATTTAATAATAAAAATCATGCTTTAGTTATAGTCCCCTAAATTATTTAGAAACTGAAAAACAACAGACACATCAAGCAGTTTTATAATAAAACTTTCCTTTGGGTACAATCTTTAAATAAATACCTAACAACTCACTTTTTTTTTTTTGAGAGGTTTTTGCTATAGGGTGCGTGCGCTCGCCAGACAGACAGAGGGAGATAGAGAGACAGAAAGCGAGAAATCACACCCCAGGGGGGATGGCCACGCCGCAATCCCTTCTCCTCCATTCTCCTCTCGGGATCTTGGGCGCACACGCACCCGCACCTGGCATGAGTTTAAGCCACAACTCACTTTTTAAAAAAACAAAAGCTTTTATATTATTTAGGTGTCTATGGAAAATACATCCCACTGTTCAAAAAGGTAAAATATATTGCTAGCTGTTTTTAAAGTACAATCATCAGAGCAAAACAATTAGAAACAGACACAAAATACAATCTTACAAATTTTGGGGAACTTACCAAGGGTTTCTGAAAAGAAGTAAAAAGCATACCACCTCAAGAAAAGTATGAAATGTCATTTATTTAAAAACAAACAAACCTTTAAAATTCTCTATAATGGGGGCTGACAGGTGGCATGCTGGTTAAGGGCACTGGATTCCCACATGGCCAACCATGGTTCAAGTCCCAAACCCAGCAGCTTGCTTCCACGTGTTCTCTCTCTCTCTCTCTCTCTCTCTCCCCCTCCCTCCCTCCTTTTAAAAATAACAAAATAAATAATTCTTTAAAAAAATTCTCTGCGACAAAATGTTGAAACAAAATACTGTAACTATTCTCATCCCAGTTTTGTTGAATTTTCCAAATTTTTAAACAATTATTCCGATTAAATGATTTTGTATATACTCTTAAATAAACAAAGGATGCCTTAATGAAGAAATGTGAGGTACAATATTTATTTCTAAAAGCAACTCGTGATCTCAAAGGCATATCAAAGAAATCTATGTCAAATTTTCCTCACAGAGAAGACTTGCAAGATAATACCCTCCAGTTACAAAACAGACTATACATAAGATGTCCATAAAATTCATATAAAGTTTAAATTTGAATAATTGTGTTTTAAAATATAAGATATCAACAATTCATGATAAAAAAGATCATTTACTCAGGATATAAATAGAAGTGGTAGACTCACTTGATACCATTTCTGTTTTAATTTGCCAGAGAGTGTATATTGCTTGCCTGAAGACAGATGGACAAAACGGAAGGGAGGAAGCAGAAAAGCATCCCTCATGGGCACGGTCATGCTGTATTCTCATCTTCCCTACTCCTCTTTCCTGTCAGGATTTTGGGCATGCACACATATACCCACCGTGTTTCTCAAGCCACTGTGTGCTTCTCAAACAGCTGGGTCCAGGACTCGAACTACGTGGTTGGCTATGTGGAACCCAACTACCATAACCACCAGGCCACAGGCTGGCCTTCATAATTTCTTTCATCTAGAAATAAATCCTACATTTTGATGACTGGTTCAATTTATCTGATTTTCCTTTTCTTTGAAGATAAACTGAAACTGAAGTTTGCCCCGAAACACTTGTCTTAGATGATCTGATCTCCACGCTAGGCTAACAAATGTGATCAGGGCGATCATTGAATCACAAATGTGTTCACGGTACTTCAACACTGTGCCATGTTTCATATACATCCCAAGCTGCAGATATGCTCAAAGTTATCACTCCATAATTTAAAACACGTCATCTTTGGTAAATTCTGTGTTACATTTTCCAGCTTGTTTATATCTTACGTTGGGTTGTCGGAAAAGTCATGATACATTTATCCTATGTTTTTCTACACAAAAATGTGTCATGGCTTTTCCAACAATACTCAACATATAGAAAAATTTATTACAAAATATATATATATATAGCTTTACAGTTCATGAACATTTAACAATGTATCTCAAAGTGAAGTTCATTAAAGAAAAAAAAAATGTGCCAAACATATGATTTGCAAATCTGCTTAGGATGAATTTTTAAAAAATAATAAACTTGGGCCAGTCAAGTGGTGTGGTAGTTAAGGCAGCTGGATTCAACATGGTTAATCTGTGTGGTTTAAGTCTGGATCCAGCGGCCTGAAAAACATGCCAGGTACACGTGTGTGTGTGTGTGTGTGTGTGTGTGTGTGTGTGTGTATGACCAAAATCCCAAGAGAAGAATGGAGGAATGGAGAAGAAAGTACTGTGGCATGATCGACCCCACTGGAGGGTGCTTTCTTACTTCTTCTCTGTCCAGTGAGCGCACATGCCTTGTAGTAAATTTAACTAAACAAAACAAAACAAAAACTTAAGGAAAACACCTTATTCAATAATAGGAAACATAATAGCATAAAAGTATACTTGGGACTAGCAGTTAGTGTAATGGCTATGTTGCTTGACTCCCACGTAGTTGACTGCAGTTCAAGTCCTGGACCCGGTGGCTTAAACTCACGCCGGGCACATGTGCATGCGTGCCCAAGTTCCCAAGAGGAGAATGGAGGAGAAGGGATTGCGGTGTGGCCATCCCTCTTGGCGGTGATTTCTCACTTTCTGTCTCTCTGTCTCCCTCTGGCGAGTGCATCATGTGCCCTATAGCAAAAAATATTCTCCAAAAAAGTATACTCAAGGCAAAACTCATGAATGTTGTACATAAATGACTGAAGTTAAAGAATAGATAAACAATGCTAAAATCTTGCAGCTATGTACCACCAACCATACCCCTTCTCTGCTGTCAAGCAAGACAAGTACCAGAACCTGCCGTTCAGTCTGCAGCACATCTGGCAGTAACAAGTGGAAACAAACACAGGCATGCACAGTTGTCTTGTCTTGTTTAACTATTAAAGCCTTACAGGCACATTAAGAGTACGTATTGTGCTGAGATGAGATTATCAGACTATTTAAAAAACATACTGGGACAACAAGACTGTGACCACCCATACCTGCTTTTCCATATTCAGAAGCAGCGCTGTCATAATCTGGCTTCCACTTTAAAAAACCAGTTTTCAGGCTAGAATGAAAGGAAGATGCATTTAACAAGATTATCAATCACATTTATAATTCAGAACTTACTTATAAAGACTTTGCAGGACATTTAGAGAAAAAAAAAAAGTAAAGCTTTGAGGTACAAACTCCCCATCTCAGCCACCTCTATCCAAACTTACTTATAAACTGAATCATGAATGTGTTTTCTCTAGATTATTTTTTAAAGGATTAGTTTATTTAACTTTATTTAGTTTTATTTATTTTAATCTGACCAGAGAGGAACAGAGAGAGAGAAAGTGAGAAAGCAAGCTGCCAGGTCCAGGACTCAAACTGCAGTTGGCCATGTGTGAGTCCAGCGCCCTTAACCACCTACCACCTGCCAGCCCCTGCTTTTGAAATGTCTGTATAACACCAAATAGAGCAGAGGTTCTCGATGCATGCCCTGCCCACCCACCCCCCGCCCCCGACCCAAGAGCATTGGAAAACTAAGAAACTGTTAGAAATATCAATTTTTGACCCCATCCCAGAACTACGGAACCAGAAACACTTAGGGTCGGTGCAGTAATCCATGGTAATGAGCCCAGAGAAGCATTAAAGTTAGGAACCTCAGAAACACAGTATCTTTAGCAGCTAGATTCATGAGACTGGAGCTCAGGAACAGAGGCTAGAAATACAAATTGATGTGTCATCAGCATATGCCACACCAAGGGCTCAGATACGATCCCCTAGGGAGGCTGTAGAAGGATGGCAGAAAGACTAAGGAAAGCAAATATTGAGAGCAGCAGAGGGAATCAGCAAACGGGGCTGCGAATTAGCCACCAGTGAACAGGACAGATAACTATCAACTCAACGTGAAGGCTACTGTGAGTATCAAGAGAAACTGCTTTCAGGATCATGACTGGATCCTAGGTGTCAAATCAAAGGACAATCCATTTGAGACCTTATCTTACTTTCCCTTTTTGTGATATTTAGTTATTTCATTTTCATTCTAAAATAAGATACAGCTTAAACTAATCCAGTGACTGTTAAGCTTGGGTGTGCATAAGAATTGTTAGACACCATCTTAATCTTAAACTTCAATGCAATTAGTGAAAGCCTATTTACTGGGACACTGTTGCATTCAAATGGACCAGGAGAGCAAACTACCTGAAAGACAGGGAGTCCTCAGGAGCCCTCAGAAGTACAGCCTTCATTTTGGGACAGCTGTATGACCTGTCCAGAGACCCTTACTTTTTTTTTTTTTTTGGAGAGGTTTTTGCTATAGGGCACGTGCGTTCGCCAGAGAGACAGAGAGAGGCAGAGAGACAGAAAGTGAGAAATCATCCGCCAGGGGGGATGGCCATGCCGCTATCCCTTCTCCTCCCTTCTCTTCTTGGGATCTTGGGCATGCACGCACCCATGCCTGGCATGAGTTTAAGGCACCACCAGGTCTGGGACTCAAACTGCGGTCAACTACATGAGAGTCCAGCGACACAGCCATTATGCTAACTGCTGGTCCCAGAGACCCTTACTTTTAAATAACTTTTTTTTTTTTTTTTTGCTTACAAAATTTATTTAACATAGCTAGTACTTAACATTGATTTGTTTATGCACAAACCATTACAAGATTTAAATTTGTAAACAATTTTTCAAGCGTATCAAGAATTTCAATGCTCAGAAGAATAAAACCTGTAAATTGCAGAATGTCTCTTCTACACTACAAAGCTATGGGGAGTGGGCAATAAAGCAAAATTCCTGCCCTCTTTTCCCACTTCAAAGCATTCATTATATTAAAAATGCCTTATCTGGTGAAATTTTTAAAAAATCCATCAAAAACAAGACATAATCATTCATTTGTGTTAAACATGGAAAAAGCTAGACATTTTAAAATACAGCAAATCATTCCCAGTCAACTGGGCACCATTAATTAGAAGAAAGAAGGCACTGTTGTTAATTTAGGCTTCATAGCTGTGAAAGCTGTTCAGAATCAAAATGAAGCCATTTGTGCCAACGTGAAGCAGGCGCGACTCTACCTGGGAGGAGCACCTCCAAGAGAAGTGGGGAATGAAGCAGGTGCCACTCCATCTTAGAGGAGCAACTCCATTATGAACCGTTAGATTCCTCTGACTGGAAATTTGCTTTCTCCTTGGTGCCTCAGAGCAGAGTAGATTAATACTCCTATTGTCTTTAAACCCCGCTTCTCCCAGTTCTTTCAATGAGGTCCAGTCACCAGACCTTGCCGGAGCCATAAAGACTATTAAGGTTCCACTGTATTTAGGTAGAGATAGGACATACCATTAGGGATGACTAACCTGCTTTTTTTCTGCTTCTGCTTTTGCGTGCTTTGCTTTTAAGGTTGTAAAAAACTACCCTCTACCCTTTTCCTCCATTCGCATCCACTACACCTTACCCTTGTGAATCATCATGTCATCCCAGACACAATCGTGCATTTTCTGCTTTCATGAGTGCCCCTCACCTTGCACTCCAGGCTGCGGGATTTTGAGAGCCACGAGTCCGTCCCCCCACCCCATACGCTGCCGGCTTAATCAATAAACTCCAATAAATTTGGCTATGTCTGGATGTCCTCTTATTTCTCGCTGAGTAGACTATAACAAACTTGGGCCAAATCCTAACTAAACTGAGCCAGGGAAGGCCCTGAAGGATGTGTCTTCTCACTCTAGCATGCTTGATATCAAGAACTGGTATTTAAAGGACTCTGCCAGACCACAACCCTGGACAATGACCACTGCAACCTGCCACAAGGATGTGTCTGCTTCTGTGAGGATATCTGCTCGGGGACTGCCTGTCCAACCATGGACTGCTTGCTGCTCTTGTTATTCATCTTCGTAGCCATGAGTAATCCTCTCAAACACCTGGTATAATTCCCTCTCCCCCTCTCCTCCAACTCATGGCTTTTGCCTTTAAATTCTGTCCAAGCATTGTAAAATCATCTATGAGGATGTATGGGGCTACATGAAACAGGCTAATCTGACCATAGCCAGGTCCTCACATTAAAGCCTAAACACACTCCTTTGCTTTACATGCTGGGCCTCAGTTTGCCTTTTTAGATTATCATGGCTATATCCATTAGAGCTTCTGACTCTGTCCAAATTCTGACTCTGTCCAAAGAGTCAGTAAGGAAGTTGGCCAACTGCCACAGGATAAAAGAAAACAGCAAAACCTTCATCTATTTAGGAAGATGGAGGAATTAATTACAAAACTACTTGGCAATGTCAAATATATTATCATTTTTAGAAAACAGAAAAATAAAATATTTTCTCCTAAGCTCCTAGCCACCTACTGAGCACTAATTCTATCTAGAATCACTTCAAAAGTCATACTTCAAGCTGGAATCAACTCCTGCCCCAGCCTCACCCACCAATCATGCCCATTAATCTTTACCTACCATCTTGGCTGAAGGCCTCTCTTTCCACATCTCCCAAATTAGAAACTTAAAAGTCAAGGCTTCGCCTCCATATCCAGACAGGACATTAAAGCTCATCAATTCTATATGACAAATGTCACCCAATCCTGCCCCCCTCCACTGTTACTTTTACTCAGGCCACCACCATCTCTCCCATGAGGTCAACAGCTCACTAACCCGACTCATAGCCCATTCACAGCAGTCTCTGCCCTCCCTCGTATCCCCCGACACTGAGGATATTAACTCTTCCTCCACCTGTGTCTCCATCGTATCTACTGAACACTTTATTCTTGCTCATCTGTTCACCTGCCTGCCCTGCAGGGAATCTTAAACTCCAGAGGAAGGACCACTTTTAGTTACCCAGTATTCCCAGTGGCTGGAACAGATACATAGCAACAACTTTGTGAATGTTTGCTTACTGGTTAATGCCAGTTCATCCTCCACACTGCTGCCACATGTATTTAACCAGAAACTACTACTCAGGTCACAGGTTATTCCATGCCTGGAAAAGCTAAGCCTCTGCACCACCTTGGGGGCTACCCTTTCAGAATCTGGCCCCAACTCTTCTTTGCTGTAGCTCATCGGCTGGCACTGCAGCTACACCACATCCATCTGAGCACGTGTTCATGGGGACATACTACACCTACACAGACTCTCCCACATGAGTACCCCTGCCTAGAAAGTTTATTTTTCAAGCCCTGCTTAGAAATCACCTCTCTGGGGACCAGCAGTTGGCGTAATGGCTATGTCGCTGGATACCCATGTAGCTAACCATGGTTCGAGTCCCGGACCCGGTGGCTCAAACTCATGCCAGGTGTGTGTGCGTGTTATGTCCCAAGATCCCGAGAGAAGAATGGATTGTGGCATGGACATCTCCCCTGGGGGGGGGGAGTGATTTCTCACTTTCTGTCTCTCTGTCTTTCTCTGAGTTTCTGACAATTGCCCATGCCCTTTAGAAAAAAACTGTCAAAAAAAAAAAAAAAAGAAATCACCTCTCTAAACACTCCTGAAATTTCCTCAGGCAGAATATATATCTATCTCCCTCTGTGTTATCAAAGCACAATTAATATAACTTCACTGTCCTGATCATACACTATTCTTATTTTTGTGTTGCTCCTGCTAAAAAGTGAGACTTGCTTCTCCTGCACCAAGAAAGCCCCAGTACCATACACTCTGCCCAGAAGTAATGTGATATAACAAAAAGAGCTTGCGTTTTTCCACCATTTGAAAACTGGTTCTGCCATCTTTCATTTAAGAGGCTTATCTGAGCTTCTTCCCTCTTTTTGTAAAATGAGAATCTCTATTTGGAAGGAAGTTATGAGGATCTCAGATTATGAAATTATGTTTGTAACACAAAGGACAACGTAGACTTTTCCTAAACAGTTAGGAAAATTCACAGGAGTGGGCCAGCAGGTGGTGTGGTTGCTGAGGTGCTGGACTCCCACGTGGTCAACTGTGGTTTGAGTCCTGGACCTAACAGCTTGAACCACTAGGAGTGCATATGCCTGCATACCGAAAATCCTGGAGAAGAGAAGGTAGAAGGGAATGCAGTATGGCCATACCCCCTGGAAGGTGATGTCTCACTTTCTGTCTCTCTGTCTCTGTCTCTCCAGCAAGCGCAGCCCTATAGCAAAAATTTCTTTAAAAATTCATAAGAATCACGAATCTGGGGCAAGGAGGGTGTCAAACAGTAATGAAGAAGAGTCAACTGAGTTCCACAGATACCTGTTAGATGCATACCGTCTACCACACAAGAAGGGACTTGCTCTCAGGGACAGTTCAATAAAAGATAACAAGGGTTCACCGAGGATCTGGTAGAGCTAATGTCCGCTTCACAACGCCAGGGACTCTTTTAGAGGTGGCTGTCAAGAGCAATATTTGTCCCAATCGTGGAGAAATAGTGAGGGGCTGTCACAAACGGAGAGGGAAGAGAGGGACGCTGCTGGCGTCAAGCAGGTGGAGACCAAGGATGCCGCTAAGGCTTCTACTGTGCAAGCACAGAACCGCCACCTCCAGGCGCCACCTGGTGCAGGCGCCGAGGTTGAGAACCGAGGTTCAGAGGAGAAGCAGCGCGACCCTGCACAGGAGCCAGCTCCTTTGACACCGGATCCGCGAGGCGAACAACTTCCGGGGGTCGGACAACTTGGGTTCCCGAGGTACGCTGCCGCACCTGCCGCTCGGGCCCCGAGTGTCCAGCGTCGCACAGCCTGCGGGCGACAGGGAGCCCTGGCCCCTCACTCCCGGCGCCCTCCCTCCACCCCTGGGACTGATCAACAGCGGGCCTCTGGGGCGCAGACGCCGCGTCCGCACACGGGCTATGGCAGGGTCCCTCACTTACTATTTCTCTGCTTTAGCGAGGTGCTCCAGCCCCTCGTTTATCTTCTGAGCCGCCATCACCACAGCCCAGTCCCTGTCGTGGAAGCCAACAGCGCCCTTCCTTGGGCGGAGAAAGGACCCAGCTGAGTAGGCGTGGGAACGCCGCAGAGGAACCTAGCGAAGCGAAACGACGAATGGCTACGGAAGACCGGAAGGCTCAAACGGCGTTGGCGAAGCAGGACGGGAGACAGCAGGGGCGCCCCGGAAGACGTGGCGGAGGCGCAGGCGCAGACCGTCGTTTCACACCTAGCCTTGGGTTTTAGCTCAAGGCGGCAGAGTACTAAAGGTAGTGTTTGTACATTCAATAAATCTTTATTGAGCACCAAAATGGGCGAGGCTCTGATTAAGCAGTGAGTGCATTAGAGAAAAACTCTTGATCTCATGGAGCCTCGCTTTGTAATTCATGTGCAAACGCTGCAAATGATCCTATAGAGTTAGCTGGCCTTAATAATTTATTGCATCTGAAGTTTCCCTGTATCACAGCTAGAATAGTATTCATTCATTCATTCCTCTGCCTTTGGAGCACCATTTATAATAGAATTCTTCACAAAGTTCATGGAAAATGGGTGTATGAAATAACGATGCATAGATTTCAAAATTGTTTTGCACCAAAAAAACTTGTACTTTAATTCTGATTTTCTAGGATATGTTTAAAATAACCCCCATATGCCAACCAGTAAGCAAAACAAACTGTAAGCCAGGCCTACCATGTGGCTTAGTGTTTAGCTCCTGAACAGCAGTAACTAGATGCATGGGTAACCAGGGTTCAAGTCCTAGCTCCTTACCATCACACAAGGCCCAGTGGAGAATTGAGGAAAAGGAATTGCTGGGACAAGGCCCTGTTGGGGGATCCTTTCTCTTTCTCTCTCCCCTACCCCAACTCTCCATCTCCATCTTTCTCCCTGCTCTTCCTCCACTCTTGTGTCATGCTCTCTATCATCTTCCTCCACTCTTGTGTCATGCTCTCTATCATGGATAAAAATTAAAAAAAAAAAAAATTTAGAAAGCCCCAATTACTGTCAAATAATCACTTGAATATTTCCAACTGTTGTAAGTGCTCTAAATGCCACCAGGTTCAGGGAATTACAGTCACTTGCACAGTAATAGAAATAACAGCCAGTGTTTGTGGGTGCTTCAAAAAGTTCATAGAAAAATGGAATTAGGTGAGTTTATTCTGGTGCAAAAAGAATTTTGAAAATACATATGTGGGCTTTTTTCATTAGTATGTGTTTTCCACAAACTATTTAAAGACCCCCTCATACAGTTGGCTCAGTTCATAATTCATTATTTCAATAGCCACATAAATGATTCCTGCAATGCTTATACAGCCTCTGAGTTTCTAACTGCATAGATACTTTCTTAGGCCCAGCTCATCTGCCCATTCCCAAGATTATATCCTTGACCTTAATAACTGTGTGCCCTCCATAGTGTCAGTTTCAAGCAACTCACTTTACTTCCTGCTGTCCTTCCTGCTCATGCCTCCTAGTATCAGTATTTTTACCATCAGCAGTTTTCCTACTTCCTCCCCTACATTTTCCTCTTTTCGTGGCGTAAATTCCATGTTCCATCATCTTAGCCACTCTTTTGCATATACTGTCAACTTCCCTCCCTCCTTTCACCTAGCCTGGAAAATCCCCAACTCTCCGCCTACTCTGGTATGGCTCTTGAGCAAATGATTGTGAATGGAGAAAAACAAACCCGCATGATAACATTACTCATTTAGTGACCATAAACATCAAGCAGCCATTTAGTGCTCTTGAGCAACTCAACTACATTTCCCTGGTCAAGTCATTCACCCATCACATGGGATGGTTGTTTACACTTTCCTTCTCCTCCTAACTCTAATGCAGTGTCTCTGCCTGCCTGCTAACTCCATTTCTTATTTAATAGAAAATGACAATTAGTAGAGCTCTTCCATTTGGCCTCATCACCCATTGACTGAATGATCTATCTCCTGCCGCTCGGGCCCCGAGTGTCCAGCGTCGCACAGCCTGCGGGCGACAGGGAGCCCTGGCCCCTCACTCCCGGCGCCCTCCCTCCACCCCTGGGACTGATCAACAGCGGGCCTCTGGGGCGCAGACGCCGCGTCCGCACACGGGCTATGGCAGGGTCCCTCACTTACTATTTCTCTGCTTTAGCGAGGTGCTCCAGCCCCTCGTTTATCTTCTGAGCCGCCATCACCACAGCCCAGTCCCTGTCGTGGAAGCCAACAGCGCCCTTCCTTGGGCGGAGAAAGGACCCAGCTGAGTAGGCGTGGGAACGCCGCAGAGGAACCTAGCGAAGCGAAACGACGAATGGCTACGGAAGACCGGAAGGCTCAAACGGCGTTGGCGAAGCAGGACGGGAGACAGCAGGGGCGCCCCGGAAGACGTGGCGGAGGCGCAGGCGCAGACCGTCGTTTCACACCTAGCCTTGGGTTTTAGCTCAAGGCGGCAGAGTACTAAAGGTAGTGTTTGTACATTCAATAAATCTTTATTGAGCACCAAAATGGGCGAGGCTCTGATTAAGCAGTGAGTGCATTAGAGAAAAACTCTTGATCTCATGGAGCCTCGCTTTGTAATTCATGTGCAAACGCTGCAAATGATCCTATAGAGTTAGCTGGCCTTAATAATTTATTGCATCTGAAGTTTCCCTGTATCACAGCTAGAATAGTATTCATTCATTCATTCCTCTGCCTTTGGAGCACCATTTATAATAGAATTCTTCACAAAGTTCATGGAAAATGGGTGTATGAAATAATGATGCATAGATTTCAAAATTGTTTTGCACCAAAAAAACTTGTACTTTAATTCTGATTTTCTAGGATATGTTTAAAATAACCCCCATATGCCAACCAGTAAGCAAAACAAACTGTAAGCCAGGCCTACCATGTGGCTTAGTGTTTAGCTCCTGAACAGCAGTAACTAGATGCATGGGTAACCAGGGTTCAAGTCCTAGCTCCTTACCATCACACAAGGCCCAGTGGAGAATTGAGGAAAAGGAATTGCTGGGACAAGGCCCTGTTGGGGGATCCTTTCTCTTTCTCTCTCCCCTACCCCAACTCTCCATCTCCATCTTTCTCCCTGCTCTTCCTCCACTCTTGTGTCATGCTCTCTATCATGGATAAAAATTAAAAAAAAAAAAAATTTAGAAAGCCCCAATTACTGTCAAATAATCACTTGAATATTTCCAACTGTTGTAAGTGCTCTAAATGCCACCAGGTTCAGGGAATTACAGTCACTTGCACAGTCATAGAAATAACAGCCAGTGTTTGTGGGTGCTTCAAAAAGTTCATAGAAAAATGGAATTAGGTGAGTTTATTCTGGTGCAAAAAGAATTTTGAAAATACATATGTGGGCTTTTTTCATTAGTATGTGTTTTCCACAAACTATTTAAAGACCCCCTCATACAGTTGGCTCAGTTCATAATTCATTATTTCAATAGCCACATAAATGATTCCTGCAATGCTTATACAGCCTCTGAGTTTCTAACTGCATAGATACTTTCTTAGGCCCAGCTCATCTGCCCATTCCCAAGATTATATCCTTGACCTTAATAACTGTGTGCCCTCCATAGTGTCAGTTTCAAGCAACTCACTTTACTTCCTGCTGTCCTTCCTGCTCATGCCTCCTAGTATCAGTATTTTTACCATCAGCAGTTTTCCTACTTCCTCCCCTACATTTTCCTCTTTTCGTGGCGTAAATTCCATGTTCCATCATCTTAGCCACTCTTTTGCATATACTGTCAACTTCCCTCCCTCCTTTCACCTAGCCTGGAAAATCCCCAACTCTCCGCCTACTCTGGTATGGCTCTTGAGCAAATGATTGTGAATGGAGAAAAACAAACCCGCATGATAACATTACTCATTTAGTGACCATAAACATCAAGCAGCCATTTAGTGCTCTTGAGCAACTCAACTACATTTCCCTGGTCAAGTCATTCACCCATCACATGGGATGGTTGTTTACACTTTCCTTCTCCTCCTAACTCTAATGCAGTGTCTCTGCCTGCCTGCTAACTCCATTTCTTATTTAATAGAAAATGACAATTAGTAGAGCTCTTCCATTTGGCCTCATCACCCATTGACTGAATGATCTATCTGCATCTACCCACATATTTTGCCTTTTGTCCTGTGACAGTGGGTGAAGTGGCCTTAGACCTTCCTTATGTAGTCTCATGGGTAAAAATAACACCCATTCATTATTTCATTGTCCAGCCTGGGCTTCCTTATAAGAAAACAGAAGCATTTCAGAAAGTGAAAACTATAGGCATCATAAGCCTAGGTTTGGGGACCAACTAAACATCACTCTGCCATACTTTATTCATCAAAGCAAGTCACAAAGTAAGTTCAGATTCAAAAGGTAAGAAAATAGATGCAAAATAGCAGTCATGACTTCCAATTCACCACAAATGTGGGGTGACTGATTCAGTATAAGAGGACTGTTGCGGGACCAGCAGTTGGCGTAATGGCTATGTCGCCAGACTGCCATGTAGTTGACTGCAGTTTGAGTCCCAGATCCGGTGGCTTAAACTCATACCAGGTGTGTGTGCGTGTGTGCCCAATATCCTGAGAGCAGAATGGAAGAGAAGGGATTGTGGCATGGCCATCCCTCCTGGGGAGTGATGTCTCGCTTTTTGTCTCTCTGTCTCTGTCTTTCTGGCGAGCGCTCGCGCCCTGTAGCAAAGCCTCTCAAAAAAAAAAAAAAAAAAAAAAAAGGGGAATTTTGCGGGGGAAAAAAAAAAAAAAAAAAAAAAAAAAAAAAGAGGACTATTGCTGGTGAAAGAAAGCCTTACATTTTTAAGTGAAAACTAGACTTAATAACTAGACTTGGTGCCATCACTCTCTAAAACTACAGAAAGTATTCAGGAATTTTTCTAAGACATCTACGCATGCACGTACACACACACAAATCTATAGCCTTCTCTTCATTCCCTATTATTCACTCATCCATTGCTTAATTATTATTTGCTGAACACCTACTCTGCAAAAGGCACTGGGTCTATACTGGGTCTATACACACAGGACACAGTTGTTGAGCAAGAGACTAATGCTTGCCTTCGTGGAAGTTGTGACCTGTGAAGGGGTACAATATTTATTTTCTTTATTTTTTTTTATAGGGTGTGTGCGCTCGCCAGAAAGACAGAGAGAGACAGAGAGACAGAAAGTGAGAAATCACCCCCCAGGGGGGATGGCCACGCCGCAATCCCTTCTCCTCCATTCTCCTCTCGGGATCTTGGGCACGCATGCACACGCACCCAACGTGAGTTTAAGCCACCAGGTCTGGGACTCGAACCGCGGTGGACTACATGGGAGTCCAGTGACATAGCCATTACACTAACTGCTGGTCCCTGAAGGGGTACAATATTTAACTCAAGTTTCTTTCAGCATGGACAAAGAAAGAATGAAAAAGTAAAAAAAAGACATGATGTCCCCTTTTGTATCTGAAAGCTCTATATTCCAAAACAGCTGGATACAGAGATTACATTAAGTATGTGCTAACTTATACTCACAATGAAGGGGACAGGAAGAAGGATGGGGATGGTACAGAGGTGATCCAAGCAAGTACTCCCACCTTCTACCTTTCCCTTTCCCTTTCCCTTTCTCTTTCTTTTTTTTTTTTCCAAGTAGGTGCTGTTGTTTTTTGTTTGTTTGTTTTGTTTTTTAATTTAAATTTATTTATTTACATTCATTCGCTGTACATCATTATAGCATACAAAATGAGATATTCCAACCAGAGTACACTGTATATCGGCTCAATCAAGCACATCAACATACATGTTATTGTCAGCAAATAATTTTCCATTTCTTGTTTCCTGTATGTTTTGCTTTTTTTTCCCCATCCTTGATTCCCTATCTCTTACCCTCTGCCATTTCCCACTCTCCTCCCACACTGTCTCTGGTATCTATGTTTGCTTTCTATACTGTTTTCCCCCCACATTTTATTGAATCACTAAATACCTTAATTAATCTAAATATCTTCATAGCAAGCACAGCTGATATATACATTTCCATGAAAACAAGTTTAACTTTAGGCATCCTATAAAGTAGCACCTAACTGGGGCTATATATCTCACTTCAGTCATCGAATAGATATTTTTTTTCTGAAATTTTTTTTAAACTTAATTTAACATTCATTTCCTAAGCATCGACACAGCATACAAAATGTGATTTTCCAATCCAGAATATACTGCATAGTGACTTAATCATGCATATTATTATCAAAAGTTTTCAATTTCTAGTTTCTAGAATTTTTTTTACCCCTATTTCTGACCCTCTGTCCTCTCCCACCCTCCTCTCACACTATCTCCAGTGTCTACAATTGTCTTCCATTCCTTTCCCACCCGCATTGTATTGATCACACAATTTCTTAAATAATGTAACTACTTTCAATAGTAAGTTCACTTGGTACTATTAAGAAAACCAGTTTTAGCTTAAATTAAAGAAATGCCAAAGAACTTTGCTTAATGCCAGGAAACAGGTTAGGATTCTGTTCAAATGGTAGGTGCATGAACCTATCCATATCTCAAGACAGGACACAAATCCTATAAGACCAAGCTAGGAATTGAGCAAGGGGAATTTAAACTGAGAAGCTAGCTTGTACTAACTGTGAAAAGAAAGCTTGGCCCAAATGATAGACTGAGACGTGCAGTTTCCCAAACTAGACGTGATAGCGATGGCGACCCAGGACAGTCATTCTTTGTATCACTGCAGACACTACCAGAACCTAGCAAGAGTAATTTTTATGACTTCATGCAAACTCTTGCCTCCTCTCCTAGATCTCTCTGGATGCTAATGTCTCCACACCCAGGCTGGCTCCTTGCCCAAGTGAGCCCATTTCAGGCAATCCTTTCCTCTAGTTCTAAAAACTCCTTTGCTTCATCTTTCCTCAATAAAAGTATACACTCTCAAGTGTTCTATTTGCTTAGAATCTGACTAAAATGATTCATATCAAAGAAAGAATGAGCCTCAAAATAGAGCTTGCCAGGCCTAATCAGTCCCTGATGGAAGAATTAATTCTAAGAGAGTTTTTGAGCATAGGTTCCAAGATTCTTTGTGTACACTGACCTGGTCCCTTGCCCTAGCCTAGTTTGCTGCCAGGAAGCAAAAGTCTTGGACCCATCTCCCTCAGCTGAATGTTCAGTGAAATAAGGGTATTTGTCACTGCTTGGAAGGGGTGTGGTTGGTTAATGAACTCTGACTATTTTAACCCACAAATCATAAATGGGGAAGCACAAGAACACATAGATACTGAAATCAAATTTATTTAATTGCTAGTACCTTGACAGTGTTATCTTTTTTTTTTTTCCAAGTGTACTGCTACTTATATTAATACATTAGGTACACTTCTGAGACCTGGCCAAAGAGTTAGCCATGAGTCATAAAAT